TCATTTTTGTTCCATTTCAGTTTCTTTTGACCTGTTCATGATTTAGGTTTGGTTTCTTTTTTTGAATAAGTTCAGGTTCAGTTCATCTTACTTGGGTATTTTAATTTACACTTTGGGTTTCCTTTTATGATGGGATATTGGTGTATTTTATGATTAAGTCCCAGCTGGAAAGCAAGATAGATTTTTTTTTTATTGCATTTAATTAATTAGGATGAGTAAATTTTAGATTTTGTTTTGAGGATTAAAGGGTTTTTTTAATTTTAATTCAATTGTACTATTTTTGTATATATGGTAATAAATTTTAGAAGTTCATGCATCTGGGTTAGTCCATTTTTGTATGATGTTTAGATGCATTTCTGTTCTTTCTTGCAGATATTGTCTTGTGGGTTTGGTTAGTTTAGCTATTTAGGAAGATCATGTGCTTGTGCGTCTTGTGAAAATGGAAAATTGCTGTAGAGGGGGACGCTATTTGCTCAATTTTGTGTTAAATTAATTTTGTCCAGGGAAGGTGCAGTTTGTTCTACTTTTTTGTTCTCTCACAATTAGAAGGGTCTGTGTTCTTTGGTGAATTCATTTTTAAGAGTGTTTCTGCTTTCCTTTTCCAACTTTCTGTTTTTACTTTTACTTTCTCTGTAAGACCAACTGATATCTGTATTTATTTGTAATTTGATCTTTTGTTTTTGGTTGAGACTCAACGATTTCTTATGCTCAACTGAAGTGTATGGTTGAGATTTTTAAGGTTGGATCTGGAGATAATATGTTAGAGTGTTAGAAATAGTTTATGGGTGTACTTGATTTTGATGGTTTGATTATCTCTATTATGCATGAAGGCCACTCATAATAACAAAATTTATTCTTTAGTGTATGACTTTCATTTCATTGATCTTATGATTTGATCTAATTGCATTCATGCTTCTGGTTGTGGCTTCCACTCCTTAAGCTTTTTTGGTTCAAGCCACTAAAGGCAGCTTATTCAGAAGGGATAAAAATGAAAAAGAAAGAATTTTTGGAACTTCCTTATTGTTTCTAATAATTTGGAATATCTGTTTCAGCGTTTCTGCTTGTAAACAGATTTAAGTTAAGAGGTTTCCTTGCCATTTAGCTGAGTCTAAGAATTGGGTCTGATACTTTGACATCATACATGCATACATGATACATGTATGTTCTCCAATTTTTCTGTTCTGTATGGCCAAAGAGAACAGTCATTTCTCTTCTATGAGTTTGTTGCTTTTCTTAGTTCTTTTGCTTTTCAGAAGTTTTGGGTTTCTCTTCGTACTGATGTACTCTCTCTTTTTTTTTTTTGCATAGCAGGACTCTTATAACTTCATTGAATATATTTAGTCGGTCTGATGTGATATAGTATTGATTAGTTGATTTATTTTCTGTGCCAGGCATGTGAAAAGGACACTAAAGCCCAGGTAGATCATTTCCAATGGAGTCTTGCAACTGCATTGAGCCACAGTGGCCGGCTGATGAACTCTTGATCAAATATCAATATATTTCAGATTTCTTTATTGCACTGGCCTACTTCTCTATTCCTCTAGAGCTCATTTACTTTGTCAAAAAATCTGCTGTGTTTCCATATAGATGGGTCCTTGTGCAATTTGGGGCTTTTATAGTGTTGTGTGGGGCAACTCATCTGATAAACTTGTGGACTTTTACGATGCATACACGAACTGTGGCCATAGTAATGACCACAGCAAAAGTTTTCACTGCTGTGGTGTCATGTGCAACTGCTCTGATGCTTGTACATATTATTCCTGATCTATTAAGTGTTAAAACAAGAGAATTATTTTTGAAAAATAAGGCTGCGGAGCTTGATAGAGAAATGGGTCTGATTCGCACACAGGAAGAGACAGGAAGACATGTTAGGATGCTAACTCATGAGATCAGAAGCACTCTTGATCGGCACACTATACTGAAAACCACTCTTGTGGAGTTGGGAAGAACTTTGGCATTAGAAGAGTGTGCCTTGTGGATGCCAACACGAACTGGGTTAGAGCTTCAACTGTCATACACTCTTCGTCAACAAAATCCAGTTGGATATACTGTACCCATCCAGCTTCCTGTCATCAGTCAAGTATTTAGTACCAATCATGCTGTAAAAATATCACCTAATAGTCCCGTGGCAAAATTGAGGCCTATTGCAGGGAAGTACGTGCCAGGAGAGGTGGTGGCTGTGCGTGTCCCCCTCCTACATCTTTCTAATTTCCAAATTAATGATTGGCCTGAGCTTTCAAGTTCAACAAAACGCTATGCCTTGATGGTTTTGATGCTTCCCTCAGATAGTGCAAGACAGTGGCATGTTCATGAGTTGGAGCTTGTTGAAGTAGTTGCTGATCAGGTTATATTTCTTGCCTGTCTTCCTTCCATGTCTGCCCTACAGCTTGCTTTATTCTTCTAACTTAGGCAGATTTCCTTTGGTTTGGTCATCACTTGCATATGCTGTACGGTTTCTGGTTGGAAATTGTTGTGCTTAAATCGAGCTTCATACAGGACTGCCTTCATTCAAGTTTTCTTGAAGAATATACACTCAGTATAAATGCCACTTTTATATACTATAAACTGTTCTAACCCTGTTTTCCCTTCCTCCCTCTTCTTTCCTACTGACAAACTACATGCCTGCTTTTGGACCTGCAGTTATTGTAATAAGCCATAGGGAATTACGTAGCAATTAGTTTTTTTTTTGGCTATACCAATTCAATAGTGGTTTCCTGCATGCCTGGGAGAACATTTCTTGAACTTCTCTATTTCTATAGTTTTTATAGCACCTGAAAAGAAGCCTAGATTGCATTTGGAAAATTTGGTTGGTTTGTGCCTTAATTACTTTAGTTCACCACCTGCAAACAAAATACAGATTTTACCCTGCTGATGCATGGTTCACCAGATAAGGGTATAATTGGGATTTGGGTATTAAAATTTAAATTTGAATAGCAGCAATCGTCCTTGCCTCTGTATCAAAGAACAGAGAGGTTATTTTTCTGGTCCCTTTTTTTGTTTGTTTTATAAAAACAAAAAATTGATTGATTGGTGTAAAGGAAAAATTTGAAGAAAGATATTCTCCCTCTCAAAACTCAGAAGTTTTGGGGTTTTAATTGTTTCTACATTGATGCCAGGACTTCTCTGTTTTAAATGCTATTTTTGATATGTTAAGTTATTGAAAGGTATTATTTTGTGACTTGTGTGGCTAACCCAGGTGGCGGTTGCTCTTTCACATGCTGCGATCCTAGAGGAGTCAATGAGGGCTAGAGATCTTCTTATGGAGCAGAATGTTGCACTTGATCTGGCCAGAAGAGAAGCAGAAACAGCAATTCGTGCTCGTAATGATTTCTTGGCAGTTATGAACCATGAAATGAGAACCCCAATGCACGCAATTATTGCTCTTGCTTCCTTGCTTCAGGAAACTGATTTGACACCAGAGCAACGTCTGATGGTTGAAACAATTCTTAAAAGCAGTAGCCTTTTGGCTACCCTGATAAATGATGTATTGGATCTCTCAAGGCTTGAAGATGGAAGCCTTCAGCTTGAACTTGGAACTTTTAATCTTCATTCTGTTTTCAGGGAGGTAGGTTTACATGTACCTGCCAACCATGAATTATTTTCTTCACCTTAGTATTACATGTTTGTGGCTGTGCATATGTATGGGTGTATTTTTGCATTTATTTTAACTTTTCTTTTCATTGTAGGTTCTCAACTTAGTGAAGCCCATTGTGTCTGTTAAAAAGTTACTTGTTACACTGAATTTGGCCCCAGATGTACCGGAATACGCCATTGGTGATGAGAAGCGCCTGATGCAAACAATTTTGAATGTTGTCGGGAATGCTGTGAAGTTCTCAAAGGAGGGCAGCATCACAATTACTGCCTTTGTGGCAAAGTCAGAATCTTTAAGAGATACGCGAGCCCCTGACTTTTTCCCCATTCCAAGTGATAATCACTTTTATTTGCATGTACAGGTTGGTTCTTTTGATGTTTAATTGGAACCTTATTCCTTAGGATGCTTTATGTTTTCTCTGTTGGAGGTTTAGTATGTATACGCTTCTGTGCTTCTGGTGTAGGTGAAAGATTCAGGTGCAGGAATTAGCCCCCAAGATATTCCCAAGTTATTTACCAAATTTGCACAAACCCAATCAACCAAAAATTCTGGTGGTAGTGGGCTTGGCCTTGCGATTTGTAAGAGGTACTCTATTTCAGTGGCTTCATCGTAACCCTTTTTTTTTAATAGTTTGTCAGCCATGCATCCACTATGGACAGATTCTGTACCATTTCTTTGATCTGTTAGCTGCAAGCCTGCAAACATTTAATTGCTAAAATATATTTTGCACTCGCACATTTAGTTCTTTGTTATGATTAGGTTCCTAAATTGTTTTTCTTTTTGATTGCACAATCAGGTTTGTAAACCTTATGGAGGGGAATATTTGGATTGAGAGTGATGGCATTGGCAAGGGATGTACTGCTATCTTCCTTGTAAAGCTTGGGATCCCGGAGCGCTTGAATGAATCTAAATTCCCCTTCATGCCTAAAGTACTGGCCACTCATGGGCAGGCAAATTTTCCTGGGCTCAAAGTTCTGGTTATGGATGAAAATGGGTCAGTTCCGTAGATTTTATTTAGTCCTTATTTCTTTAACAAAAACATTCTCATCATTTATTTCTACCTATTGATAAAGGATCTGTCCATTTTTCTTGTGCGTTTATGCTTGGCCCTTAAATTTCGTTATTTATGTGCTTCTGCGCTTCCTTTTCTGAACTTTGTCTAGGCTAGCCCATAAAGACAGATCCAAAAGATGGGTTCTCTATAGCAAGCCTGGTGTTATTCTGACTACATGTAATGGTATAAAAACTATATAGGCTGAAAATAGGATTACCAGTATAAAATTAAGCTTTTGCAATAATACGAACTGATAACATGGATACTGGCTACTGAAAGGAACTGGGCGTGTTGGCACTTAATTTTGTACTAGTTATTTTTTCCTCCTCTTTGTGCATACCATTCCAATTAAATTTTGGAAGTGAAGGACAACTTTAATAAGGGTTTGTCTAACTTAGGGCACAGGTTAAGGGTGCAATAAATGCATCTTTTTGTAATTAATTCACATTAAATTGTAAAAGTTGACATATATTTTAACATCATTGACGCATGGATGATTTTAATTGATTAATTGATTAAATCGAAGTCAACATTTATACTTTTAATGAAAATTAATTATGAAAAGGTAGATTTATTGCACCCTTATCCTTTTAATAATACTGAATCATCTTTTCCTGATTAGTTGTTTTATTCATATCCTTTCAATTTAGGAGGGAAGATGCATTTTGCTTTCCATCTTACCATCACTGCTTTACCATTCTGATTCTTAGAGTTAGGGAAAATAAAAGGAAAGGTTCTAACTTGTTCAGCAGCTGCAACCATTTATGGTATCTTTTCTGTATGAGTTGGTTAAAGATTTACTTATATATCTTGTGATTTTTGGCTATCTATTCAAATTGAAATGCAGCTAATTTGTAGAGCTTCAATCTATATAAATGATAGCTGAAATGGTACTAGTTATAGAAGTTACACAGGGTAGCATGGATTTTTCATTTAATTCCAAGGAAGCTGAATTTGTTGAATGCTAATGATGTCCGTAACATTTGAGGACTTTTCATTTAACATTTGGTCTTCCCAATTTTAAACTTGGGGTTTATTTTTGCTGATAATGGTGGCTTCTTCCTGTATTAATCATCCATCCTTTCCCTTTCATCTTCCCTATTTGCACTTTGGCTTTTTTTTTTTTTTCTTGGTTTTTGTGGCATTGGGAATATAGGTTTAAGAAGTTATTTGATTGAAAATACTGAACTTTTATTTGTGCTAAATGCAGGGTTAGTAGGATGGTGACAAAGGGACTTTTAGTTAATCTAGGATGTGATGTAACAACTGTAAGCTCTGGTGAAGAGTGTTTGCGCATGGTTTCTCTTGAGCACAAGGTCGTGCTGATGGATGTATGTGTGCCTGGTAAGGATGGTTATGAAATTGCTATCCGAATACACGAAAAGTTTACAAAACGACATGAAAGGCCACTGATCGTTGCACTTACTGGCAACACCGAGGTCACAAAGGACAACTGCATGAGGGTTGGAATGGACGGTGTCATATTGAAGCCCATTTCACTCGATAAAATGAGGGGAGTCTTGTCAGATCTTTTGGAGCACCGAGTTCTTTTTGAGGCCATGTGACCACGAAGAAACCCAGTTAGTCATAATAAAGTCGAAACTTAAGAAAGTGGAGTTAATTGTTTGTACATAGCATGCTGAATTTCAGTGCAATGAATGGGGCACCATGATGTGGATAAGACGTATGTCATGCCAGGTGCATTTTGGTATGTCTTGCTTTGTGCAACTCGTTATAAAAGTGCAGTTGCAAGAAATGGTAGCTTTCTGGGGAAATTTAACGCGAGACCATGGGATCAAGCTTTGTTAAAGGTTGGTAGGTGGGAAAGGAGGAGGTAAAAAACCCAAAAAAAAAAGAAAAAAACTTTGTTGCAAGCTTATTTGCAGATGAAAGTTCAGACTGCTGGTGACTTCTGTATAAGTGACGATGTCAAGTTAATATAGTCCCTTAATTCGAATTGCTTAGTTGAATTATTGGTATATCCATTCTTTTTTTTTTTTGCGCCAGATCAAAGAAAAAATAAAGGATGATGACCGTGACTTCTGAAGATGACATAGCTAGTAGTAGCTACAAGGCGGACCCAACTGACTTTCCTTTTTCAAAATCCGTCTTCACTCAATTCAATGTTTAGATCTAAAACCTCTAAATCGGGAAAGGATATGACTATCACTAAATTGATAAGATTATTAATTTATTTATAATTTATTAGTTTATGATTTTTTTAATAATTGATTATATTGTTTAAAAATATTTATTTATAAATTATTTTAATTTGTTAAATAAGAGTAATTATTAATTGTTTTATTAATTTTATTAATTTTTTTTGAACAATTTACATTGCATTGGTAGGGGCTGAAACTTTAATAAACAAATCGAAATACTTTAAAACTTGTAAGCGAATCATTGGACTTAAAAGTTTAGTTTTATTAATTTTATTAATTATTAATTATTAATTATTTTTAATAATCAAATCAAATTAAAATAAAATTTTAACAATTTTAATAAAAAATAACGAAGTTAGCGGAAAAAATAAGTATGACCCTTCAAGTCGCCTCCACAAGATTCCTAATCTGAGAAGGCATCGTCCAGTTAGGGCCACCGTTTGCTTTCTTTCTTCCATGAAGTCTGCATTGAAGCTATAGAATTTGCTTGCTTCTATCTTTTACTTTTCCCCGCTGACCTTCTCCAATGCTTTCTTCTGGTTTGATTTCAACCTTTTTAACTTCTTCTCTTTTTAAAATTTTTTTTTTTTAAACTTTAGTTTTGTTTCGATTAGGTTTTTCTCAAATACAATTTAATAATATTCTTAATTTTTTTAGATCTTGCCTCTTTCAAATCTTAAAAAAAAAAAAAAAAATCCTCCAATCCCATGCTATTTGTCTTTGCCTAGTACGAAATTTAGGATGTGGACCTGTTTAGCGGTGGACTCCCACTTGGAGTTTCATGTGTTTGCCTCTTCCCCAATGTACAAGTTAATGTTTTGTTTATATTTGTTAGGGCTGTGTCTCCTTGTGCTTTTGTGGCTTCGCTTTTCAATGAGATCCATACGTTTTGGTAACACGTTTCTTTCCCAATGCTAGCTGGGGGTGTTAATGCATTTACATTTCTTCAAGCTGCATAAATCTAATTCATTTAAAAAACTGAAAAACCAAATATAGGATTGGATTTAGACATTGTAATGAAATGTTGAGTTTTTTTTTTTTTTTTGAATAGCTTATAATTATGGGGAGGTAAGATTCAAACCCAATCCATATAAATATAAATTTTTTATGTATCCTTTTACCTAATTGAGTTAATAATTTAGGTCTCATTTTTATCTACATTAATTATTAATTTGTAAATGTCTTTTTCTTTTTAATCAATTCTTATGCTTTTGAGGAAAAAAAAGTCATAATGTAAACATATAAAAATAATCTTCTTTAATTTTGTTCTTAACAAGAAGCAAAAGTGAAAAATAATTTCGTTCTTCAAAATATGAGAAATAGGAAAATCTCTTCCCTCTATGTGTAATGGTAATACTCCAACAACCTAACCAACAGAATAAGAAAACATAATTGCCTTTTTTTTTAAAAAAATAATAATAATAATAAGAAAAAGGTTCCCACATTAAAAAATTGAAAAGAGTACCGAGTGTGATTGCTGAATGATTAAACAAATGTGGTTGGTAACTTAAAGCTCACATGCCATAAATCTCCACCCTGAAAAAGGGC